GGTGGAGGAGAATAAGGAGAGCTTTGGGATATGGTGGCAGGGGGTTGGCGGTGTGGAGCAGGCCAGAAATTTCTGGGCCACTCCACATGCCCGACTGAAGGACACACGTTCCTGCAGAGTGAAAAAAGCCTGCAGCTAAGGAATTTCTGACCATTTGCCATTAGGGTAGCAAAAATTGTCTAAGTCATGGAGGGTGTGGCCATTATCAACCTGGTGATGAGGCCAAGCCATCTGGCAGTTAAAAACTAATTTTTTCAGCTACGAAGTGTCTTTGAGAATGTCTGGAGCCTGGAGATTATGGAGTGAGTAGTTGCCTCAACAGGCACCTGAGTGAAGTGTCTTTCTGTGGCCAGAGAAGAATATTTCCCACTGTGGCTGAATTCGGGGTGAGCTGAAGATCACAAAGGTGGTGTCATAATCCCCATGAAGAATTGTCACCCTTTTCAGGAATGTGAATGAGAAGAAGATCCCCAGCACCTGCATCTTCCAGTCATCATTGAGGGAACACAGGAAGGTCCGTTAGGGGACCTGGTCCTCTTGCAGAACGTGTATGAGAGAGGATCCTGACGTGGACCCACAGTGGATGAGACAGAAGCCATGAAGCGAGAGGTGGCTCACCTGTGAGAACCTGTGAAAACTGAGGTGGGTCAGTGGTAGATGGAGGCTAGTAATGGCACAGACAGAGATGAGAGAAACAGAGAGAGGCTCTTTGGTAGGGTAAGCTCAACCTGGGGGCAGCCCCCAGGAGCTGCATGCCCTAGCTGATCTGAGTCCTCGTAGCACCACAAGTATTTTGATTATATGAAATTTTTTAAGGAAATGGGTTCATTTATTTTTCAAAATGAACAATGTACACATGAAAGAGTCAGAAAGCATTTGGTACACCACCTCTATGAGGTGGATTTGTGAACAATGTGGGAGTTCAAGCAGCCAAATGATAAATTTTGGAATTTTTAGCTGAGCTCAGTGACCACCGGTGGACTCCTGTTTCAGAGTCCAAACAAGTGGCCCTGAACTGGAGGGTTACAGAGCTTTTAAAACAGAAAACCACAAAAAGACATCCTGTTGGAAACAATTTAGCAAGGATCTTACACACCTGTATCCTGCTGCTTTGTTGAGCAGGTTAATAAAAATTAACTTCTTGTGGATGCAGCTCATTCTGCTTTTATCATGGGACTTGTACCCTGAGTGATTTTTCACTCTTCTGGGTCAAATACAGGGCACAAGATGGCGTTAATTATACCAAGCTACAACACCCTAAAGACCAGGACTACTTTTTTTAAAAATTTGTTTTTGAATTGTTCATTGCAAGTATATAGAATTAAATTTTATTTATTTATTTATTTATTATTTTTGTCTTTTTGAGACAGCTTTTCCCTATGGAGTTCAAGCTGGCCCTGAGCTCACTTTGTAGCCCAGGCTGGTCTGGAACTTGCTACCATTCTACGGCCTCAGTCTCTGGAGTGCTGAGATTACAGGCAGGCACCACCACATCTGGCTAAAATTTATTTTTTTATGTTGATTTTTTTTAGCTTGGAATTTTGCTGAAGGTTCATTCATCACTAATTTTTTTGGAGGAGTTCTTAGAATATCACAAGATCCTAGTGTCATCAGATAAAGATAGTTTTATATTTTCCTTTCTGTTCCCCCCTATTCAGAGATCCTTTCCACAGCACCAGCTATCAGGGATCCCTGTAGTGAGTCCCTAATGTCCTGCCTGGAGCTGTGGGGCACAGAGAGAAAGAAAAAGAACAAGAGACAAGAATTGCAAGGAAACAGGGCTCTGCGGTGATCAGTGTTCTCTGGGAACAAAGACAAGAATCTTGGGCTGGTCACCATTGCATGAGCCAGTGCAGGGAAGGGTTACAGCGCTTTTCCTGGAGCACAGTAAAGGAGGGTGGGGACAGGTTTAACATCCTAAAGGAAACAAGTTAAGCTTTACCCCCATACTTGGTTGCTAGTTTTCCTTGTGTTGTCTTCAACAGACTTCATCCTTGCTCTGTGAGTGACAGCCTCACGGACCATCAAGATCTCAGGGGTGACCCAGAGGAAGAGGGACTGTTACATTCCAAAACCGGCCCACAAGGTAGGGCATGGAGGACCTCTGACAGCTACTGTGTCAATTTATAATTCGTGGTCTCCAGTCTCCCCTCTCCTCCTTTTGGTGAGAAAGCCTTGCTTTGTATTTCAGTCTGGCCTTCAACTCACTCCATAGTCTAGGCTTTGAACTCATGGAGATCCTCCTGCTTCAGTCTTCTGAGTGCTGGGACTTTTTCATTTTGAGGAAGTTCCCTTCTGTTCTGTCAGAAGTTCCGTTACTCCCTGGTTGGTCTACAGAATTAGATGTTCTGTGTTATTGGTATGGCCTTTCTCACTCTGCTGATTTCCCTTTACCTGTTCTCCCTCATGGTGGTAGTAAACTTGTGTGTTGTTTACTTTTCTTTTGTTGCTGGGACAAAATACTCAACACCCCAAGTTAAGAAAGAAAAGGTTTACTTAGCTCACAGTTTGTGAAGGTTTGCGAAGTCTGTAATCAGCTGGCTCCAACGCAGAGTGGCACCGCTGAGGGACAATGTTCAAGGCAGCAGAAGATAAAAAGCAGCAGAGCAGAAGAGGGGAGAGCAAGTGTCTTCTCCTCCCTTACACTGTAAGCAGGTACCCACCCCTTCGGGCAGGTGTAGCACTCAAACTGGCTCTCTGCTTCTTCTTGCACAGGATCAGGGTATTTATAAAGTGAGGACCTCAGCCCCCTGCTGAGTCACTGAAACTTCTCAAGTTGACACAATGTATCAACCATTACCCTTGTCAGAGCTCATTCTAGGAACACTAATTACTGTCTAACAAAGTCAGGGGTTTAGCTCAGGACACAAGTACCTGCCTGGCAAGTGTGAAGCTGTGAGTTCAATCCCTAGTACAAAAAAAAAAAAAAAAAAAAAAAAAAAAACAAACTTAAGCAGAAGCATAGTTGGAAGGTATATTATGTTTACATTATAAAATTCGGTAGTGTAAATTTAACAACACAGAATGCAAATTATCATTCATACTTGACTTACTCTGGATAAGTCTTGCATTTGCGGTCATTATTAATGAAATACAATAATAACAACTGAGAGAATCTCTAGAAGTTAGTATTCACAGTTGTCAAAGTGGATGATGCAGTGTAAGTAACAATATCACTTACATTAAATTAAAGATGTTAGGAAACTACAGAGGCAGGAAGAACTATATCCTATATTACTCCTAGACAAACAGGTTCTGAAGAGTCATAGCTTTGTGAGTAATAACAGTATCATTATCTTACATGGGAATTTGGAATTATTCAGGAGTTGTGCATTCAAAATAAAGACAGAAAGAAATGGTACTTAGACTTGCATATGAACAGATAGTACCTAGATATAACCCAGAATCTTTATCTGCACTGATAGGAAGAAAAAAAATATATCAGTGCCACTTTTATAACCGTTGTTTCAAATCTTTGGTAATAAAACATTACACTCATACGGGTCATGGATTATGTAGTGCTTACTTTAATAAGACTGTTTACATAATCAAGATCCTTACAAAAATATTTATCTGAGATCCTTTAAACCTTAAAGTTAGTCCTGGAGGAAATACAGTACAAGCTGGTTAGGAGTTTGGGCTCTGGAGTTAGCTTAAAGTGTTTAGTATTTAGCATTTTACATTTTAAAATGTATCAATGTTGATGGGAATAGTGGCACACATCAATAATTCCAGCACTTGGGAGGCTGAGACAGGAGAACTGCACTAGTTCATGATCAGCCTGGACTACAGAGAATGTCGAACGTCAGCCTGACCCTGTTTTAAAAACAGCAAGACCCTGTTTTTAAAAGAAGAAAGAAAGGAAGGAAGGAAGGAAGGAAGGAAGGAAGGAAGGAAGGAAAGAAGGAAGAAAGGAAGAAAGGAAGAAAGGAAGAAAGGAAGGAAGGAAAGAAGGAAGAAAGGAAGAAAGGAAGAAAGGAAGAAAGGAAGGAAGGAAAGAAGGAAGAAAGGAAGAAAGGAAGAAAAGACTTGTATAATAGTCCATTTTGTACCGGTGTAATGGATCCTGAGATTTAATAATTTATAAAAAGCACAAATTCTTTTCCTACAGTTCTGCAGATTGGAAAGCCCAAGATCAAGGTGAGCCAGTTTTGTTGTCTGAGGGGTTGTGTCTGCTTCCAGCAGCTCACCATGAACGGATCCTCTTCTGGGAGGGTGGAACTCTGCAAAGAGAGGAAGAGCTCAGAGAGCTAACCAGCTCTGGAAAAATTTTAAAGGCATTAAGCCCTTCCTTAGGGAAGCAGCCTTCGCTGCCTAATCACTTCTGAAAGGCCTCACCACTTTTGGTTGCTTAAAAATGGCAGTTAAATGTTAATAGGCGTTTTGGAGGGGACAAGCCATAGCGACTGCTGGGCCCCTATGGGTAAACTACACGACAGAAAGGTCAAAATTAGTTCTTAGTTGCATCTCCCACACAGTGAAGTGACTTGTTTTCCTGATAAAGAACTCGAGATCACCTGGAAACACCAGGAATATTTAAAATGTACATAAAATATAATTTAAATTAAAAAAGCCAAAATAAAAGAGAGAAAAACTCACAGCATGTCATTTGTATTTCTTCATTTATTACATTATTAACTATTATTAGAGGCTCAATGTCCTCTCTCTATCTTTTGATGTCGATTTTCGAACTCAGGACATCGCACGTGCTAGGCAAGCACCCTACCACTGAGCTACATTTTCAAATCTCTTTTCAGACTTGATTTTGAAACAGTCTCATGAAAGTGCTTAGGCTGGTCTGGCTTTGGCGAGCCTCTGGCCTCAAGCTCCTAACTAGCTGGGATTACTGGTGTGCCACACGCCCAGCTTTGATGACCCGTGAGGTTGTGTGTTTTTTCCTCCTGGTAGCTCTCACCTCTTTACAGCGCTTAGGTATTGGTTGGCTGACTGGAGAGTCAGAAGATGCGGATGCTGTTGGGGAAAGTGGGTCGCATGACCGCTCAGCTTTGGTGCTGGGTATAGAAAACCCACAATCTGTGAAGCGGGCGCAGGGTGGGTCGGACCAGGCAAGGGCCCTGCGAAGCCCCATCTGCCTATTCCGGAGGCCGCTGGTGCCGCCACATAGATGTCCAGCGCCAGGGTCTCGAGCCTGGAGAGCGGGTGACAGCCGGCGGGTGCGCTGGGTGAGTCATCCTCCCTCCCCCAGCAGTACTGGCGGAGACACCCACTGCGACCCAGCCAGCGCTTAGGTGAAGTCCCTCCAGCGCGTCCCGGGCTGCTTCCTGCGGGCGCGCCCTGATCTCCCACTGTGCTCCTGCACCCGCACGTGCACGTGCACGCGCGCCGCCCGCAGAGCCACGCCGGCCCTGTGAAAGGGGCAGAGGGCGGGGCGGGGGCGGGGCCGGGGCAGAGGGCGGGGCAGGGGGCGGTGTTTCGGCCCAGCGCGGTGGCTCCTGGGCAGCTGGGTGCAGAGCTGGCCAGCCCCAAACCTCGAGTCCCGCACCCCGCACCCGAACAGTCCCTTGAGGTCACCGTGTGGGAATGCGTGAGCCCCGAGTGAGCACTGCCTCCACCCTCATGGGGGAGCCCCTGAGGCGGTGTGGGGATCCGCATCACAGCCGAGCCCCTAGGTGAAGGGAGGTGCACCCCAGATAGGTCCTGTAGCTAAAGGGGGACGGACTGTCGGTGGTGCTGTGGAACTGCCGCGAGGAACCTCTGACTGAGGAGAGGGTAACCTGCCTTGGGTGATTTCCCATAGCGCTGAGGACTGGGCCTTGCCTTCCTGTGGGTCTCCTTGTGCCCTCCTCGTTTCCCAGCAGAAGCGCTGCGGAGAAGTGCGGATCCTGTAGTAGTATTTTTGCCATTCATTTCCTGCTCCTGTGTCTCCCTGTAGTTTCTCTTTTCTCCAACAGTCCAGTTGACTGGGACCTGGACTTTACAGGAGGCAGACACTGGGTGAAATGGAGAGTTGTAAGGCTGCTAAAGATGGGTGATTTTGAATTTAGGCCTTAGCTACCCACAAGGAAGCAGCAGGATAAGGGAGAACAGGTGACTCTGGCATGAAATAGAAGAGAAAGTCCTTTGTGGGAAGGAATAAAGGACACTGAGTACTGATGTTCTTGGCATTGTATTATTAGGTTTGTGTAGATCTTGTAACTCTTACGGCAGACTTGTAAAATACTTCCTAAAATAAGACTCAGTTTAAGCTTGACCAAGATTACAAAGCTTGGGATTATGACATGTGTTTTTCAGATTTTATTTGAGAAGAAACATCATGGAGAGACAGAAGCAAGACTGTGTGCTTCTTTAAGAGCAAATCGTAAAAAATTCTTAAAAGAAAACATAGGGGAAGCCTTTATGGCCTTGAATTTGGCAATGGCTGCTTAAGTATGATATTGAAACCACAGATAATAAAAGAAAAAGATAGATACACTGAACTTCAAATTTTTTTAAAAAGTGTGCATCAGAGGACTCCATCAAGAGAATGAACAGACAACCCATAGAATGGGTGAAAGCATTTGTAAATCATTTTCTGATAAAGAATTAATATCCAGTATATATAAAAAGCTCCTGCAACCCAACAAGAAAAAGCAACCCAATTCAGAAATAGCCTAGGACATGAATAGACTTTCTTCAAAGAAGATATACAAACAGCCAAAAAGCATATGAAGACATCCTCAAAATTGTTAGGAAGATGCAAATTAAAACTACAGTGATGTCCCATTTCGTACTTACTATGATGACTATCTCCCATCACACACACACAAAAGGTAAATAATATGGAGAAATTGGAACCCTGCTCACTGCACTGAAAATGTAAAATGGTGCAGCTGTTGTGGAAAACATTTCATGGCTCCTCAAAAAGTTAAAAAGAAGGCTAGATGTGGTGGTGCATGTTTGTAATCCCAGCACTTGGTAGGCCAAGGCAGTAGGGTCACTGTGAGGTTGACGCCAGCCAGGGCTACATAGCGAGTTCAAGGCCAGCTTGAACTACATAGTGAGATTCTGTCTCAAAATCAAAACCAAACAAAACAAAACCCCCCAAAACTAAAAAGAATATGCCCTAACAATTCTACAACTATATACTGCTATGTAGTTAAAATGATGTGGCATAGAAATGATCTAAATTCCAAAACTTAGTAGTTTAGCTTTTCCCTGTTGTCAGAAAAATAGGCCATTTCTGTTGTATTGTTTAACTATCATCGTCCCAACTAAACTCAATTGACCATTTCAGGTACCACCTTTGAGAAGCAGAAAACATGTGATGTGTTTGTGGCTCCAGTTTCCAGAAATGAGTTCTGAAGATTTAGATTTGGCCTTAGTTCCCTCTGCCTCACTTTGGAAGGTTGCTGACACCTCTATTCAACAAAGATATACTGAACACTTGCTCTGTGTAAAGCTCTGAGAACCATCTTGATCTTCAGCACAAAGAAAATCTGAGACTTCCTCTGTCTGTGATACCTGCTAATTTTAGTTGCCTCCCCTTTTCAGAATTTTCATTTGCTTTGTTACCGTCTGGCCTCTACCACCCTGCAAACTCTAACATGTTTTTCAAGATCACTGTATGTTTTGAAACTTTTATAAATTTCTACCACTCCCGAATCAAACAATCAATGAAAACAGAGGAGTAGCTTCACATCTTACATGCAGGCGAAAGTGATTCTAGCCTATCGGAATGAAGACTTCTCTGCCTCTGATTCTGTCTGTCTCTGTCTCTCTTGTCAGGAGCATGAGCCGAGGGAAAGGAATTCCATAGACGGCTCTCTCCATAGGTGCTGGGCCCTCTCTGGCTTGTGCTGTAGACAGCCTTCTCTTCCTCTACTTCTGCTTGTTCTTATAATGTCTCGCTGTACTTTAAGCAGGTGCTCTATAGATAATGGGTTGCAAATTTCATGCTGCTCACCTAAGCCTCATCACTTGAGAAATACTTGTCTTGCACTGTAGCTACAGCATTGCATTTTTTGTTTCAAATGACCACAAATGTTCTAGTTTAAAACAGCATGCAATTATTATCTTATCATTTCTTTGAGTAAGAAATCCAGCTGGTCCTCTGCTTGTAGTCTCACAGCTATAATCGAGATGTTGTCTGGGCTGTGTTCTCAGTTGGAAACTTGACTGGCGAATAATCTCCCTAGCTCACCCAGATTGCTGGTAGTTTATTTGTAGTTACATAACTGAGGGTTCTGGCTTCTTGCTGGCTGTCAGCTGGAAGCCACCCTTGATGATGAAAAGCTATATGCAATTCATGGGAGCCACTGAAGTTCTTTACCATGTGGATTTTCCTAGCACAGCAGCTTCATCAATCAGAACAGACACCCCTCTGAGAGTGAGCTAGAAGAATTGTAATCAGAATTGCCATCACTTTTACTAATTCAAATTCATTGGGATCAACTCAAAAGTTAACCCATATTCAAGAAGATGAGATTACACAAAACGTGAACACCAGAAGGTGAGAATCCTGTGGGTGAGACTGTCCCCACAAACAGTACCAAAGGTTATTCTCTAGTCTCTTTTCTTCCACTTCATCCAGCTGGATGGGCCATTCTGTTTTCTTGTCCCATTGTTATCACTATCACTTTCTCTTAGTTTCCCCAAACCCTTCTCAAGTTACCACAAATTCTTCATTCTCAGTTCACATTTTCCCTGTGATACCTTCTGTGGCTCTTTTCTTCTTTACTAAAGACACAAGAAATCCAAGTTTAGAAAAAAGAAATCCCTGCCAGTTAAGTAACCAATAAGTTTGACTTGTGGTGTCTTCCTGACTTTCTTTTTAACCCAGTCTCTGTCCCAGAACTTCTGTCGCAGAGGAGGTCAGCCTTTTTTTTTTTTTTTTTCTCACTAATGTTTTGTCTTTGCCTGTCAAAAACTGCTGCTGGGAGAGACAACCTACTCCGGGCCCTTAGTATCCTTGAATTTTCTTACTAGGTATGACAAAGATTCAAGGTCTTGACTTTTTAAGCCAGGGCATTTCTCAAGGATATATTTGCAAGAAGGAGTTTTGAGGGCTAAGGTAATGTCTACCCCTGGACAGAAATGTGGTTTGCTTCGTACTGTAAGAGCAAGCTGCCAAAGCTCTGTTTCTTCCCGTACAGCATCCCTCCATGTGCAGGCATCTCCCGCTGGCCCCGTGCTGTCTCTGAGGACTTGGAAGGCACGAGAGAACTGGTGCAAAACACCATGCTGAAGCTTCTCTGTGGCTCCGCTCTGAGTCACATAGGAATAAAATCCCTTATCTTTGATTTGGGAGTCCTGTATCTTCTGCCAGAGTTCATGAGACAGTAACAGGATAGCTTGTTAACTTGCCAAGAAAATACCACACTGCGTGGTTTTTGACAGTCACTACCACCTGTTTTTCTTGACACTAAAGCTGCTTTTGTTAATTTTTCAAACACCTCGGGTGCATATCCTATGTATGTGAGCAACATCTTTCTTAACCTAAGTGTCTTTTGTAATACAGGTTTAAATGTGTGTCTCAAGCATTAAGGGCTTTATGTTAACTGGCTGCATCTCACACTTTCCTCTCAGAATTAAAGCCTTGTCAACTTTAAAGTGACTGGGTCTGTTAGTGCCCTCAGAGATACTGAGGCAGAGGGAGCGTAAACACAGGTCCATGACTTCCTGGGATAGACTCACATGATTATGGAGGCCGAGCAGTCCCACACAGGCTGTCTGCAAGCTGGAGGTGCCAGCAGCCTGGCTTGGCCCAAGTCTGCAGGCTTTAGGCCTGGGGAAGCTCATGGTGCAACTCTTAATCTGAGGCCAGAAACCTGAAAACCCAGAGAACTGCTGCTGTAAGTCCTGCTGGAGTCTAGCAGCTGGGGAACCAGTAATTCTTGTGTACAACAGGAGAGGAAGATTGTGTTCCGGCTCCTGGTAATAAATAGACATACAGATATTCCTCATTTAAGGACCTATTTAATGACTGTTCAGACTTAAAATCCATCTTGTTTTTCTGTACAATTCTGTACATCTTGTTTATAGAGCCTCAATGTTACTTTTTGTAAAGTATATACCTTGTTTATACAGTACGGTAATATTTACTGATTGTACTGGGCAGTATTCTAGTTTTATGTTATATGCTACTGTACTACATGTAAGAGTTGTTCAGATAAGAGCAAAGCCATCAAGTTGGAGTTTCCTTTGACCATTTCTTTGTTCTGAATATTGTAATGTATATGCTATA